AGAATATAAAACCAGCCACAATACTCCTTTAAGCCAAAGTCTAATCCAGGGCAAGGCCCTAACTCTGTTCAATTCTGTGACGGCTGAAAGAGGTGAGGAAGCTCCAGAAGAGATGATTGAAGCTAGCAGAGGTTGGTTCTTGAGGTTTAACCACTTTGGTATGAGTGTCGATTATAGTCGATAGCCATAGATGAACACCCACAGCCGAGCGTATGCTATAGTCAGTAGCCACCGATGAACCGAGCATCGATTTTAGCCAAAAGCCGTGATATTAAGGCGCACAGCCGAGTGTCCACTGTAGCCAACAGCCGTGATGTGACTTTTCTAATTTTTCCTTTATCAAAGTAAAATTGTGAACATTTAAAAATAACGTAATGAAAACATATATGGGCCGGGCGCGGTGGCTCACACCTATAATCCTAGCTCTCTGGGAGGCCGAAGCGGGAGGATTGCTCGAGGTCAGGAGTTCAAAACCAGCCTGAGCAAGAGCGAGACCCCATCTCTACTATAAATAGAAATAAATTAATTGGCCAACAAATATATATGGAAAAAAAATTAGCCGGGCATGGTGGCACATGCCTGTAGTCCCAGCTACTCAGGAGGCTGAGGCAGGAGGATCACTTGAGCCCAGGAGTTTGAGGTTGCTGTGAGCTAGGCTGATGCCACGGCACTCACTCTAACCTGGGCAACAAAGTGAGACTCTGTCTCAAAAAGAAAAAAACCAAAAAAAAAGAAAACATGTTTATATATGTTACCTATTTTGATTTACATTACAAGTAAAGCTGCCTGTAAAGTAAAATAAGCTTTCAGTGCTTTAAAGCTTTCCTTATACAAGAGCAAAACGGATTCGTCGTCAGTGCACAGCACAAACTATCGTGCAGACTACGACTACTAGCTGTGGGCAAGGTTTCACTGCTGGCGAGCGCCGTACTGAACTGGTTAAGGAAATAAGCCATCTCCTTAACATAGAAGTATAAGGTGACCAGCAAGTGCTGATGGAGAAGCTGTAGCAAGTTATCCAGGAGATCTAGCTAAGATTGTTGATGAAGGCAGCTACACTAAACAACAGACTTTTCCATGTAGACCAAACAGCCTTCTATTGGAAAAAGGTGCCATATAGGACTTTAATAGCTAGAGAGGAAAAAGCAGAAAAGTCAATTCCTGACTTCAAAGCTTCAAAGGACAGGTTGACTGTCTTGTTATGTACTAATATAGCTGGTGACGTGAAGTTAAAGCCAATATTCATTTACCATTTCAAAAATCCAAGGGCCATTAAGAATTATGTTAACTCTACTCTGCCTGTGCTCTATAAATGGGACAATAAAGCCCATATGACAGCACATCTATTTATAGCATGATTTCCTGGATATTTTAAGCCTACTGCTCAGAAAAAAAGATTCTCTTGAAATTCTTACTGCTCATTGGACAATGGACCTGGTCACCCAGGAGTGCTGATGGAGATTCACAAGGAGATGAATGTTGTTTTAATGCCTACTAGCACAACATCCAGTCTGCAGCCCATGGATTAAGCAGTAATTTTGATATTCCATTCTTATTAGTTAATAGATTTTGTAAGGCTATAGTTGCTACAGATAGTGATTCTTCTGAGGGGTCAGGACAAAGTAAACTGAAAACCTTCTGGAAAAGATTCACATTCTAGCATATGTGCTGCCAAAGTGAACACAGGATTCACGTTCTAGGCGCTATTAGGAACACTCATGTTTCATGTGAAGAGGTCAAAATATGAACATTTACAGGAATTTGGAAGAAGTTGATTCCAATTCTCATGGATGACTTTTAGGGGTTCGAGACTTCAGTGGAGAAATTTACTGCAGTTATGATGGAAATAGCAAGAGAACTAGAATTAGCAGTGAGGCTGACCATGTGACTGAATTGCTACAATCTCATGGTAAAACTTTATGAGGGGTTGCTTCGTATGGATGAACAAAGAAAGTAGTTTCTTGAGATGGAATCTAGTCCTGGTGAAGATGCTGTGAACATTGTTGAAATGACAGCAAAAGATTTAAAATATTATATAAAGTTAGTTAAAATATTATATAAAGCAGTAGGATTTGAGAGGATTGACTCCAATGTTAAAAAAAGTTTTGTGGGTAAATGCTATCAAATGCACGTTCTGCAGAGATATCTTTTGTGAGAGGAAGAGTCAATTGATGCAACAGACTTCATTGTTGTCTGATTTTAAGAAATTGCCACAACTGCGTCAACCTTTGGCAGACACCACCCTAATCAGTCCGCAGCCATCAGTATTGAGGCAAGACCCTTCGCCAGCAAATAGATTACAACTTGCTGAAGGCTCAGATAACTATTAGCATTTTTTAGCAATAAAGTATTTTTTAATTAAGGTGTATACATTTTTAAGACATAATACTATTATTGCACACATAATAGAATACAGGATAGTGTAAACACATTAATAACTTTTATATGCACTGGGAAACCAAAAAATTTGTATGACTTTATTGTGGTATTTGCTTTATTGTGGTGGTCTGGAACTAAACTAGAAATATCTCTGAGCTATGCTTATATAATACAACATGAAGGAAAAGCATAAAGTTTGGTATTTTTTACTTGTTTTCTTCTGCCACATTCAAAGGCCCAAGTTTTTAGTTGTTAGGAAATGCTTTTGAAAAGAGAAAAATGGAAGAAGGTAAGGAAGAAAAAGAGAAAGAGAAAAAAAGCCTCTATATAAGAGGAAATGCACTAATTTCCTTTTGGGGTTGGGTTTAAGTCTCATAATTAGCAGGTTACTAACACTGCCAGGTGTAGTTGGATCTGACATATCATGGACTGAGACATTATCTAACAGTCTTAATTTCATATCGTGAGGGATTTTATAGGCATTCCTAGTTTTTTCCATCTGAAGAGGATGGGATGTTTTTCAGTTTTACAGAGTGATCCTAGTCTATGGAAAGAGAGGTGAGATTTTAAGAGGATAAGGGTCAATCTGAAGGGCTATGAGGCAGCAGAAAGCACATGTGTAGTGTTTCAGGATATATGTACTGATCATGGATAGATAGCTGTTAAAGCAACTGGAAAAGCTGATTGCTATAACACATGAAGTTTCATCACAAGTAGTCATGTATCTGTTCTTGAGAAACTTTAGAACTCTAGTGAAGACTTGGTTGCAAAGAAAATTTGGAACTCTTGTTTAGGTACATCCTCTGTCTTAAAAAATCTGTTGGGAATACTTCTGATCCTAATCATTACCACTCACATTTATTGTCTGTGGATTTTGGAGCGTTCAGTGATGGAGAAGATTTCTTTTACATTTGGTGAAGACAGATGTATGGGGAGGGAGAAAGGAGGGAACTCAGTTTTTTTCATACTTATTTGGAGGACTGCTGAAAGAAAAATTCTGTGAATTTATTTCCTTTTGTGCTTGACTTTAAGCAGCTTTACAAAGAAGTCTGAACTGGATGGTTATTTTCTAAAATTTAACTGGTGGAGGCCGAGTGTGGTGGCTCATGCCTGCAATCCTAGCACTCTGGGAGGTTGAGGTGGGAGGATTGCTTGTGCTTAGGAGTTGGAGACCAGCCTGGGCAAGAGTGAGACCCATCTAGTAAAAATAGAAAAAAATTAGCTGGGCTTGAGACGCGCACCTCTAGTCCCAGCTACTCAGGACGCTGAGACAGGAGGATTGCTTGAGCCCAGGAGTTTGAGGTTACAGTGAACTATAATCATGCCACTGCACTCTAGCTCAGATGACAGAATGAGATTCTGTCTCAAAAATGAACAAACAAACAAACAAAAAACTGGTGGAAAAATGCGATACCTCTCTTGGGTCTGAAATCTAATCTCTCCTTTTCTTGCAATAATATATAATATGAACATTTTAAGTTATCTAAGGTTATTTAAATTCAGGGAAGTCACCATATAAAGATGGAATATTCCTGGGTATAAGAAAACCAGTTGTTCTCATTGCACTTTTCAGGTGTCTTTAAGGCTGGATGTATCTACTATATAGTTTTCAAATGAAGACTTAAAAAGCAGCTCACTTGCTTAGGAAAGCTTTTCAATAAGATATTCTGCTCTATTTGTTCCCTATTCTTTCTTAAAAGATAAAAATAAATAGTTGAATATATGACTTGATGAAATAAATATTTGGGGAAGATAAAAAGATTAAGATCTAAACAATAATCTTTGTTCCTTGGGCAATTGCAGGGGAAAGTTGGGCTTCCTTTTCACAGAGCAGGCTTAAGTGGTCACTATTGCTTAGCCTTTGCTGAGATGACTAAATACATGGAAGAGAGCTCAATTCTTTCTCATCAGATTCTCCTACCAGGGCAGTAGAGGATGGTGGAGTGGAAATATTATTTCTGTGTAATCTGTGTGTGTATGTACTTTCAAAAACTATGTACACCATATTTCATCATTTCGTTATGTTGGGAAGCAATTTCCTGTAGATCTTTTGCATTTCTGCACGTCTTGTGAGCAGTGGCACTGTCTTTGTTCTGGACAGTCTTTTCAAGGATGTTTGCATAGTGAACTACCTTGGATAATAGTGTAAAGGACAGGTTTTTGCATACTGTTCCATATGATACAGACAATGGCTTCCTCCAGCACAAAGGGCAGGTGCATGTATAAAAGATTGTAGTTTCCTAAGCCCAAGGTTCCTCTCCTATAATGCGGCACATTGAGTGTGCAGGTATCGCAGGGCCATCTTCACATAGCTCTGTGAGAACTGGGGTTCAGGGAGCTGATGCAAATGTAGATAATCTAGTTATTGCTATTAATGTGAATGCTAAACTATTGTCTCTGACCTAGAAGTCTCATGTTATTTGCCAGGATTCATGAAACTGGCAGGTTAACTTTTAGCTTGCAAGTATGGTGAAATCTCAGACCTTTTATAGTTCTTGATACTTCAAAAATAATAATGATTTGTTAAATAGAATATGTTTGGAAAAATTTATTGAAACTTATAGATTTTACAATTTTTAAGATGTTCATTTAGGATATTATTTCTCCTTGCTTTAATATAGGATTTGTTTATAATGTCAGCCCATATATGGAGTATCATCCTGGTGGAGAAGATGAACTAATGAGAGCAGCAGGATCAGATGGTACTGACCTTTTTGATCAGGTAAGGTGCTAAAAGTAAAGTATTTCATTAGAAGAGTACTCATGGATTTAGCAATATGACATTTGTAAAATGAAAGAAAATAGTTGCATAAATTTCAGATGTGTTGTCTTGAATTTTGAAGTATAGGAAGATGCCCACAAGTAGCAGCTGTTCATTTAATTTGCCTTTGAATTATGTTATTAAAAATTTTAAGGTGATTTCAAGTCTGTGTCTAGGAGTGTGTTCTGAGTACTTGCTGCTTCCTCTGCTGACAAGTGTTTACTCAGTCTTGATTAATTTTAATGGTAATGATGATTGGCATGTGGGAACCAGTGATGTTTGGAAGAAGGAATATTGGGATCTGCTGCTAACTTGCTGACTCACTTTAAACAAGTCACTTAGCTTTTTTTCTCTTAAGGGGATTGTTATATATGCCGCCTGCCTCACTGTACTGAATTTGCATATCATGTAGAAAGTTAGATAATGCTGATTAATGAGTGAAAACTTAATTTTTCATAGAGTTATAACAGAGATTCTGTATAGGTAGCTCAAAGGATATTTAAATTAGTCTCTTTTCTCCTTATGTTTACTAAAAACAAGCCTTAGTACTTAACCTGTTTAAAAGTCATACAGAACATGCTAATAACTATCAATTTGCTAAACTGTTATTCTGAAACAACAGTATTTAGAAGGATAGGAATTTGCCTTTGTCTCACATATGCTTTCTTTTGTATTTTAATGGTGATTAACCATGCTGCAGTACTGGGTTTTTATCATTTGAGATACTTGAATCAGATTTGGTTATTTTATATTAATAGTTGTTTTTGATCAAATATAATTTGATTTCTGTTCTTCCTACTTTCTCATCCATTTTAGGATTTATTTTTTGACCAGGTTTCCAGAATTACAATTGTTTTATATTTAGAGAGACTTAGATGCATCTACTTAAATGGCAGAATCTCATTTGCCGTTAATGTTCTTTCTGGGTTGGAGAAAAATCATGTTTGCCCATTGTTCCTAACAGCATTCTCCTTGGGAGGTTTTTATTGCTGTTTTAAGGCAAGTTCCCATTGTCATTTGGTATTTGTTATTCTATAGTAATGCAAGGCAAATAGAAAAGTTTAGGAATGTTTGCCTGAAAACTTGTCTGCCATACTTTTCTCTTGTATATTCCCTGTGACTTCTTGATAATTGAATGTACTCTTCCACAAGAAGAATTTCCTGTAAAATCTAGTCTTATTTATATCCCTCAGTGTTAGGAGGTTATATGGACCTTATGTAAGGAAAGCTTGTTCTGGAGAAGTTATGAGAACTGCTATATTGCTAAGTTCTTTAGCAGTTAAAACAATATTTTAGTTACCAGATTGCTGTATTACCCTAGGATGTAGTAAGACCAGTGATATTTAAATTATTTATAGCTTTGACTCACCATGAAAGTAAACTAGAAACTTAGGTGAAGCTTCTTACATCTTTCAATATGAGAATTTACTTGTGTCCAGTATTTGAGTTGTACAAAGAATATTAAGTAATCTCTTTGTTGTCATACTTCTGCCTACAGTTTTGATCCCACTGCTGACCTCTTGTCTTGCATTTCCAAATGCCTGATGGGCAACTTAATAACCTGTTGGCAGTTCAATTCAGTGTTCCCTCAAATAATATCAACTCAACTTTCCTCCTTTTCCCTCTGTTTCCTTTAATATAGGGACTTGAAGCCCCTGAGTAATCTTTGCCTTCTCTCATTGTGCCCCAATATCCAATCACTGGCCAAGTTATATGATCTGTCTTTAAACATTACAGCTTTTTCTCCCTTTCCACTGCTTTAGTTCAAATCATCATCACCCTCTCTAGCTCTACTATTAATATTTTAATACTATCCTGATTTCTTTGCCTTCAGCACCAATTTAGGTAACATGCTTGCTGGTCAGTTTTCTTAAGGACAGTCAACTTATTACCTTGGTTCTGCAACTCTCAGTGGCTCACCACTGACAGTGAAATAAATTTACAGTCAATAACTTGGCATTTTAGGCCCTAAAAAGAGTATATCAAGGTAAATGTTCTCAACATTGCATCTTGCTTTTAGCAAACTGAGTTGCCTGCCATTTTTTCACCAGTCCCATGATTGACAGACCCTATACCTTTGCCTCCTTGAATAGCTTTCTCCTTTATCTATATGTTTAAATTCTATCCAGCCCCATACCCCCAAATATAGTATTTTCAACATTAGTGGATGCTCTATAAATATTTAGTAAATGAAATTCAGTTTATATTAGTGAGTGCCCATTTATAAGTACATATACATTTTTTACACATTTGCTATTTTAGTGTATATGTATTTATTCAGGAACATAATGCCATACAGATTCTAATGTCAATATTATTTTTGACCTGATTATTATATAATATTGAATAATATATCATCATTTTTCTTTACTGATCTTTTATAAGTAGACATTTAGATTGTTTCTAGTAGTCTGTTTATTTAAGCAATAGTATGGTAAATGTCCTGGTATACCCACATCTTTGTATATATGCAAATATTTTCTCAGGTAAATGCCTAAATATCTGAGTGAAAGAGCTATATATTTTTAAGGCTGTAAGCATATTGAGAAAGTGCCCTCCAGAAATGTTTAAATGTAATTCCTCTCAGTGGTGTCTGGCAACAAATATTGTCAGTTGTTTTCCTTGAAGTGATAGTCTCACTTTGTTCATTTTTAAGAAAATGTCTGTTAAATACTCAAGTCTGAATAATTACTTTATCAGTCATTCTTCTGTATATAAATGGCCTTTCATGAAAAAAGCCCAGTTCAATATGCAAATCATGTGTTTTCCTCAAGGAAACCATCATGCTTCATAGCAGTAGTGTTTTTAAGTATTTCCTATTTGGTCACAAAGAAAAATATAAAAAGATACACTGAAGAGTCAAGATTTTAAGTAAATTAATACTTTCCCTACTTCATGAAGGATATTCTTAAATTTCCTTAAATACCACACCCCATCCCATGGTGGTGAAGAATGTAATGATTACTAGTACAGTTTGGAGCCATGGCCTTGATTAATGCTAAGATGCCAGCAGTTTTACCCACTATTGTTTTGTACATCAGTGCAAATGTCAAAACAATTTAAAAAAATAGGCAAATAGCATCTGATTAGTATCATCGTGGAACAAGCTGAGACCCCATAGATACCTGAAAGGGTGCGGAACCTCCAGAGGTCTATAGACGGCACTTGGAGAACACTGTTCTAAACAGTCCCTGTCTATGCTGCCTTTCTCTCACTACCTTGTTGACTAATTGAATCTACTTCTTAGTTTTTAGGTGTTGTGTTCAGAGCAGTTTAATAAGGTTTAGTTTTGCTTATAATAGAATAAGAACATCCTGTAGAGTTAGAGTCATGTTGCTTTTCTGTTATTTGTCTTCCATACCAGGTTCATCGTTGGGTCAATTATGAATCTATGCTAAAAGAATGCCTGGTTGGCAGAATGGCAATTAAACCTGCCATTCTGAAAGGTAAGTGGCATTGATGTGTGATGCATACACACACACACACACACACACACACACACACACACACATTTTTTTTTTTAACTTGGATCACAACAAAAATTTTTACATAAATCATTGTATTTTTCTCATTTTTATTAGTTTCCTGGTCTAGCCATTTTAAAGGTCTTACTTTAGTTCTTTAGAATCATATAGTGACTTTCACTTAAAAATTTGACATATTTTGTAGAGAAAATGCATAGTGTGAGGAGTAAGCATTGTAGAAGTAAGAGAACTTTATTCTTTGGTTTTCATTAATGTCTTATTCTGGCAGATTATATGGCAGATTAGCTATAACGCTTGATTAAAGTAGCTTTTTAGAATTTAATTTTTTGCATAAGTAATACTTTCATATGATTCAAAAATCAAAAAATATCGAATGTTATACATTGAAATTTTCTCTGCTAGCTTTGTTTCCCATTTGCCTTGAACCTTCTCACTCCTTGTCCCCTCCCACTGCTTGTTCCCTCACTATTGGTAACTCACTATAATTATTTTAAACTTCCTTTAAAGTGTAGCATATTTCTTCTCCTTACCTCTGAGCTTCGGCTGTATAATCTGGGTGGCATTTAAGGTCATCTCTTTACTAAGCTTCTTTCAGAAGAGCACCCTTTGAAAATATTAGACATGGAATTGGAGTAGCAAGCACACTTTGCATAACCTTTTTCTATGAAGGAATGATAGTTATTTCTTTTGAGTAACTCCTGACCTTGACACTGAAATTTGCTCAAGAAATTGGCTTCTTCAACCAGTCGTTCACTACTTCATTGAGTTTTGTAATTTAAGGCTGTATTAACAGAAGCTTTAATTCACAGTATGGAAATATCACAGGCATACCTAAATTTGAACCCTAGCTCCATGGCCTGTTGGCCTGTTCAGCCACTTTCCACCTCTGAGTCTTAATTTCCGAATCTGTACATCAATTCATAGGAGATGGAAGACAAGGTCTTAGGTACGTAAAAGGCAGAGAATTGGACACTGAGACCTCTGCCTATGGCCCAGACTCTGAAGGACTATATAATCAGTGACATGGGAAGGCTTGAAAAAAAAATCTGTCCAACAACAAAGGGAGCGGTCAGGTATTTTGTCTGTTTGACTTTGTTTATGATGTGATGGAGGTGAGGAAAGAGAAGTTTCCTACGAGAATTTGTAATCATAGCCCTACCCACATATGAGCTTGGAATTTGAATACACCTCCTATGTGGTCTCAAAAACCTCAAACCAAGAAATAAAATAGTCTTTCATTATTGGTTTCCCAGGTTGCTTGGCAGATGTATGTGCACATTTTTAATGGAGGGACAGACTTTCAACCTAAAACCCTCAAAATTCTCACAGATACAGATCAGACAATGATTAGGGCATCCAAAAAATTAGAGAACACATGAGGGGACAAGTTAACAGGAACAAATAGCAGCAGAATTTCACCCGTAGACTTCATTATTCAGGTACAGGGTAAAAATAATTATGTTTTAAATAATTAGGAAAATAAGAATGAATTGGTACATGAGTAAAAAGTGAGAGGCTGTTAAAAATAATTATTCACAACTGAAAAAGAACCACCTAGAACTTCTCAAAATGAAAAATGCAGCTGGCGAAATTAAAAAGTACATAGCCTAAATAGTCAAACAGATTAGACATAGTAAAGGAGTTAAGTGAATTGCGAGATTGAATAGCAGAACTTACACAGACTGTGGCACAGAGAGACAAGAAGATAGAAAAATATGCAAGAGACATGGAAGATAGAATAATAAAACCTAACACATTTATTCAGATTTCCAGAAGGAAGTAGTGGTGAAAATGAGGAAGAGGCAACATCTGAATAGATAATGGCTTTGAATTTTCTAGAATTGATAAGTCATAATTCTTCAAATTCAGCAAGTTCAACAAATCCCCAACAAGATAAATAAAAAGAAATCAAGGTTTTTTGTAGTGAAATTTAGAACACCATAGGCAATGAGTAGTGAGAAAAATAACTGACAACTTATTAATAAAATCAATCTGTAATGATTTGAGACTAGCCCAAAAGGTATATAAGTATACCTTTTGGTATATGAGACTATACCCAAAGGTATATGAGACTAGCCCAAAACTCCCCATTAAACCAAAATTAGAAGGGTTTAGGGAACTGAGGATTTTAGACTAAACCCTGGTCGTAAAGAACTAAACTGTAATCAGTACTCCTCCTCACTACCTGGTTCAGAGGAATGCAAACACATTTCTTACCCAGAATGTGGTATAGACTCTGAGATACCATGTATTCATAAATTCATAAAAAGCTTCCTTTTATACACTGTCTCTAGCCCTGATATTGATTACTGAGGCAGCATGACCTGTGGAAACAGCACAAATTTCATAGAGAGATAAACCTGGGTTCAAATCCTATCTCTGCCACTCATAAGTTGTTGTGTTCTTAGGCATCACTTAACAGATCTGAATGTCTTTCCTCATTAGTAAAATCGGGTTTCAGAATAAAACATGCTAATATCATTGTGAGGGTTAAATAATGTTTGCTAACCACCTAGTACAGAAGCAGCAACAGATGTTTGAAGTAATAGAAGTGGTTATTGCTATTGTAGCTACCATTGTGCCTCCATTTCCACAATGCTGAGGCTATTTTTGACTCCTTTATGCATCCCTACAATTACCAGGCATGTACTGATCTGTTTATTGTGAAAGATGGATTTGTTTTGTGAAAAATGTATTATAAATATTATTACTATTATTATTATTGACAGGACATACAAGAGTGGGGTTGTGAATTGGTCTGTGCTACACTCTAAAGCCTTTTTGCATGATGAGTGTTTTGCCAGTGTGAAACCAGTAATAGGAAGTAATATGAGACAACTTGCTAGGTATTAGGAAGCAAAGATAATAATGTTGCAAATCAAAAAAGCATTGGTTGTGAGAAAGGGGACTTTTGTATCAATAGAGATTTAAGATATACAGACATAAAGATTGAAAGTCTGACCAAACAAGCAGTGGATTGGGGTCAAGTATTAGGTAAAATCTAGAAAGATATAATCAGAACTTCAGCTAACCAAAGTCTGTTGTTATCAAGCAAAGAATCAGTTATGTTTATTAAATATAACCCTTTGTTTAAAAAGTATTATTGTTTGTATTATGCTTTAGAAAGATTTATCAATAATAAAAGGAGAAATTTTAGTTGAAAAGGTAAGCTTCAATTATTGATAATTTGTACATGTGGAATACTTCATTCTCTGGTGAAGATGAAAAATTAGTTCTTACTTTTTGCTAACCTTATTCTTTGGTTGTTGTAGCTACTAGTCACATGTGGCTATTGAGTAACAGAAATGTGCCTAGTGCAAATTCAGATTTGCTCTAAAAGTAAAATACACACTGGATTTCAAGACTTAGTATGAAAATATATAAAATATTTCGTAATTTTTATATTGAATACATATTGAATTGATTATACTCTGAGTATATTAAGCAAAAATATATTATTTAATTTAACCTTTTGTATATTACTTTGTTAATCTAGTTATTAGACAATTTAAAATTACACTTATGGCTTGCATTCTATTTCTTTTGGATTGCACTGTTCTAGGCCATAAGTGTACTTTAAAAAGTGTAATATACCATATTTTTAAAAACAGTTATATTTTCCAATGACATAATACAGTCTCAGGAATGTTTCTTCTTAATTTCTCATTGCTTTATTATAGTTTCTAATGCTTTATGTTTTCAGATTTCATGCCCACTCTCTCTAGCAGTTAATGACTATAAAGCACTTAGAACATTTATAGAACACTTAGAGATATAAGGGGGATTTAGAGAGGTTTAAAAATGAAGATACTGAGGATTGTAGGTATATGTACCTTACTAAGTGCTACAGAATTATTTAATTGGAGAAGCCCACTCTTTGAAGAAATGTTATAGGTGCCTCCTTTTCTAAAGTAGAAAATTGCCTCATTAATGTTAGCCTACTTTTGTGTATTTTATTTCCCTTTGGTACATGCCAGTGGTTCTTAACTGGGGTTAATTTTTGCTCCTCAGGGGATAGTTGGCAAGGTCTGGAGATATTTTGGTTGTTACAACTAAACTAGATGCTACTGGCAGTTTAGTGGATAGAGATCAGAGATGCTGCCAAATACCTTATAGAGCATAGGACAGACTCCCACAACAAAGAGTTATCCAGCCCAAAATGTTAATAGTGCTAAAGTAGAGAAACCCTCTTATATGGATTAGTTTTTTATTCTTAAAAATGATAATATTAGTTTCACATGTATGGTAAGCTTGTATGTAGACAATGGACAGCTAGTTCTATGATTCATCCCAGGTAAACCCTGGCATCTGTAGAACCAGGGATGCAGGTTGATACCAGGACTTTATAGGGTGCCAAGGCATTAATTTCAGAGTCCTGTTACTGTCATGGCATTGTAAGCAACGTCAGAACAACTATTGAATGACCTGGAAGCTGGAAGTTCAGTTTTTGTAGAGTCAGTCAAAGTTCATTCTTCAAGGAGCCTCAGTTTCCTCATTGGCAAGATGGGGACAATGTAGGTAGACAAAGCACAAGCTCAGAGGCTAACTTGTGGGGGAGAAGTAAATGAAGTAGATTTTACTGGATGAGCAAATTTGCTGTCTCAGTCTTGCTGCCTTAATTTCCTCTTGCTGTTTGCTATAGGGCCCATTGTCTGGGTGATTCCCACCAAAAAGACTTAAGGGAAAAGTAATTAAAAATAGGAGGTGAGAAGTTCCTGGTTAGGGAGCAGATGCAAACATGAACAGGAAGGTGAATCTTGCGGTATGACTGACTGATGTTTTGTTTGTGTTAGCATTTATTTTGTTTTCAGAGAAAGAAGATTTTTGAACATGTGTATATTCATGAGCAGGTGATTCCAAAAAAGGAAGGAATTATTAATCCCTCAGAGGATAGGACAGGAATGGAAAATAACTGATGAATTGGAGAATTGAGTAAAAAATAACAAGCATAGCCAACTTAAGGAGAAAATACAAACTTCTGAAAATGCGGTATATCCTGTGATTAGCTAAACGAATAATGGAGGAAAAACCAATCCTAGAATAAATAAATACTCTGGTACTTCTAAAGCTTTTTAATTCTGGGATTTTTCAGAGTATGTGTTTGAACTATTAAATCTTCATTTTAATTCTGCTGGTGAACTGCTTCTAGGATAATGAGTAATTCTGGGCCTTGAATTTTGAGAGATGTATAAAATGTAAAGATGATTGCAATTGGCCCTGAATCAAGGCCAGCAGTTTGCTGAAGCTGTTGGTTTCAAACAGGAGCCTAAAGAATTATCTTTCTATGGTCTGTTGGCCATTTCAGAACTTTGGAAATGTAATGGTCAATTCATTAGAAAGAAACATCTGAGTTAAAAAAATAAAAAAAAAAAAAAGATGATTGCAAAGATGACTAAAGGAAAGTAAGAGGTAAAAGGTAGTTTTAAAATATAGAAATTATTGTTTTATAAGATTTGAAAAATGAGTATGTAACTTTTGAAACAAAAACAAGAATTAGTCCTAAGTTGTGTTAGGAGGAGTTCTGTTTAGAGATATGGAAGAATTTCTAGAGAAAAAGCGTTATTATACACATTGCAGAGAACCAGAGAAGCCTTCTGGCAAGGCTAAGCTGTCAAGGGAACACAGAATGGTACATTTTGGACTTTGTGAGTAAGATTCCTGGTAACAATACTGAGCTCCATGTCTGATGGTCATGATACCAACCTTTTAGAATAAGAAAGGGAGATGAGTTATGTAGTTAAAGTGTAAATATTAATATAAAACATTCAAATATAACTGCTCAGCATTTTTTCCCCTAGAATGCTTTTCTTCAGGGACTTCTGATAAATGCCTACACATTATCAAAACTTAGCTACATTATTACTTCTTCAACAGAGTACTTTTAAAGTTCTAAGTAGAAATGCTCGTGGTCTTCTCTGCTTCCATAATATCTTCTATATACTTCATTTATAGTATTTATTTCATAGTATTAAAGAGAGCATATTGATAATTTATTTTTAATTCGGTTTATGTAATATTTTGAATAAGTCATACATTCATATGATTGAAGATGTGTCCATGTCATATCTCTCTTTTGAGGGTAGCCTCCCATCTGCCCTTTTCCCTCCCATGTACATATGAAGGTAACGAGATTATTAGTTTTTTTGTGAATCTTTCCAAATTATCTTTATGTATGTATAAGCAAACTGAATATATTTTCATATTTTCCTAACTTTTTATCCAAATGATATCATATTATGTCATCATCCCTGTTAAAAGGCTCATCAACAGATATTTATTAAAAGAATGAGCATATTGATGAAACAGAATTTTTCTTTTTTTTATCCCAGGGGATCCTCTGTGACTACATTCAGCAGAGGTAAACTGGATTTGGGTCAGAATTAAAAATCTTAGCCTTCTTCCCAAGGAAGAGTAGAGTACTGTTAGATCACAGCATGCTAGCCTTCTAGAGGACGGTGACCTCCCCCAAAATACAGGCTCTCATCAGAGTCATGCAGTTTAACCAGCATTATGAGAAGATACAAATTTTACTGGCCATGGAGCCAACCAAATGGTAGAATTAGTTACCAAGAGAAGATATCAGATTTCTTTTCAGGGAGAAAGGTATCTCCCCTTACTAAAATGATTCAGATATAAATATGCTTAACAGTGGGGGACAAAAAGTTTCCTATATTTCTATGACTCAGTTTTTGAGAAGAGTTACAAAATTATAGTAGAGTTTTTAAAGGTAATTCGGATCATTTCAATGGAAGTTCTCTTCCTACTTGTACTTCTTGAGACTCAGGAAAAAATTACTAACTTAGCAGAATCCAGAGAGTTCTAACAGATTAAAATCATTTCACATCAGGCAGGTAGTAATCATATGAGGTAATATTGTTTTTTTCTCCTAGAAACAAATTACCTGGGACAATTTTTCAAAATCTGTGAACCTCTTAGATAAAAACAAATTGTTTTACAGGATAAATGAGATTTATCAAACTCCCAGCTATGTTGTACACTGAAAATAGATTTAATTTACATGTTATTGTGAATTTGCTGTTTGTTCTAAGATACAACAAATAATCACAAATGGAACAGCAAAGACAGATAAAACTCACTAGATAAAAGTAAGTGACTGAGCACGGACATCAGTGGTCCCTTGCAAACTGTAATGACTAGATTTTTATCTGGCTGTTGATAAACAAAGCCCATTTTAGGTATAATTTAAATGGTTTTTAGGTCTTGTGTCTTTTTAGGAAGTATTTAACCATAGCTTGTCAAGAAAAATAAGGCTGAGTTTTAGGGGAGACAAATCTAATCTTGGCTTTGCTGTGGATGTCATTCAAGTCCTTGACCTCTGATTTTGAGACTTAAATGAGGGGATTTGATGATAATTTGCTGTATATTGTTAAGATCCCTTTCAGCTATAAAATTATTTTGGTAAAATGAGGGAAACAAAAAGAATAGTCATTTGGACTCCTTAATCATTATTATGTTGTGACGAGTGAGTGAAGTGGAAGTAATTATGGAATTTCTGGTGATTAAAAATTAGACCATAAAAATTTGAAAGCTTTGACTTAAGTGCATTAGTTCCTTTTTCTATAAAACGAATGAGGTGGTGTCAGCTTAGCAAGGGATTTCTTTCAATTTGACTACTTGAGTATTTTGCATTAGCTTATCACCCTTTTTTGTTTTAAACTCTCACAGCTTTGCTAAGGGGTTTGTTTTTACTATAATGGTATAGCGCTTGTAGTTATTAAGATATGATATAGGTTTGTGAATTGTCTGCCATCCTGAAAGAAAATACCGGTTAATTTTTTTTTCTGGGTTGTAACACTAAAAATTGCATTGTGTATACATGTGAAAGTGTTAACATGTTTTTGGCTGTTTAAACTTGTAGTAGCAATGATCATATTAAGTACTGACCTTCATGAAAGAGAAAGATAGTAAGATGTCTTTCTTGGGGTTAGCGTGTGTGTTTCATTTATAAAATGTAATCTAATGAATTCTGGTTAATTTAGACTAATTTAGAATATGATAACCTGGACAAAAGTTGGGGTTTATATGCTCTCTAAAGAAATTAACCAAGATATTAGAAAAAAGTGACCAAAGAAGTAGAAAAAAGCCAAGTGAAATGGGATACAAACATCTGGAGACATGGCCTGGTGATGGACCTTGGTTATTTCAAACAAAAGCCATCTATTTGTTAGCCTATTTCTCTCCTCAGGCCTTAGACGAAAGTCTTTCAAGAAAGGAGGACTGTTATCTTTAAATCAATAGTGTGTACTCATTCTCTCTGACATCATAGTATTCTTATCTGACCTTTTTTCTCCTAAATCACTGTACAGATCATCGTGAGGAAAAGAAAGTCTTAAATGGTAAGTCATATACATTTTAATAAAAATGAATTATACTCACATGCTTATGCACAGTATTGCTTTACAGAATTGTCTGGGGTGTTTACATTTTAATATGAAATATGTCTTTACTGGCCCAAACTTAGAGCATATAAGAGAATTTTATAGGCCTCTTATTCCAGCTATTACTCTTATAGTGGTCCCTTCTTTGACATCCCTGAACATATGTTCATCTGCCCTCAGCCTGAGTACTTATAGTGATAAAGAGTTTAATTCTCAGAAACAAGACTGAGCAAGTCATTTTTCTTAGGCAGGTGAGCTGATCTGCAGTGTTTGCATACAGTTGCCAAACAACTTATTAATCTACTCTTTTCTGAGTCCTTGAACAGTGCTGGCTTCCTCAGCCATTCAGGATGACTTGCAGTTATGACACTTTCCCTCCTCCCTCAAGAAAAGTTCACTGTGGTGGTCTGGACTATATTTATGTACATTTAGAAATAGATTTTTTTCTCCCTGTTTGCAAAAGAAAGTCATAGAAGGTGCAGCTAACAAGCTAGATTGCCAGATGAATTACCTTTTTTTTCTTTTTTAACTAGAGAAAACAGTCTAAATTGTAGACTAATTTATGCAGTTTATGGTACCTGAAGTTGTTTGTCTGATGGCATAACACTGCATGAAATGAGGGACTGATTGTAGGCTTTATCTGGTGATTGGCTCTTCTATGATAACTACCAAAACAACTGCTGCTTAATGACTAATTACTGATAGACTGGGTATTTTGTTTCCTCCCACTTTTGGCTTCCAGAACCTTTACTTCTCTGTTGCCCTTCTTTGGATGCAGTGCATTTAAAAGTGGCCTTAAGAATAGAATATAGCATTCCACAACTGTTCTGGATAGCACCGTTACCTCTTGCGACCTGGACCATATAAAATTGGAACATATCTCTCTATATTTTTTATTAGCTGTCTCTCACATTTGGCTCATTTAAGTCTGTGCTGAGTCTGTATATTTGCAAATGTGACCTGCCTGCCTTCTATGTCATTATTCCTACAGCTGCTTAAAATATTGAATGGGATGGACTACTTCCATATTCCACTGGAGACCTGATCCCTTCAAATTGACATCATTCAAACAGCATTTTAGGGAGGGAAAACATTTATTCAGTCCATCTTACTTATTTTCCTCCACTCTGCATTCACCTCGTATTCTTTCAGCTCATCCAAAGGATATTATATAAGGTTTGTTAGTTTGTTTGTTTGCAAATGTTGAAATCAAGACACATTCCACTGCATGTGACATTACTCTAATAAGTTATATTTTTATGGTACTGTGTAGTTTTGTAGAATGTTTGGAAATTGTCTCATTTACTCTCTCATGAGATGGTAGAGCTGATTTCATTATTGGTTTGAATTTGAGGAAAAGGAAACAGAGGTTTGTATAAGATCACAGTGCTGACACTGAGCTTAAATCCGGTTTTTTGGTCCTAATTAGGTCATACAGGGTTAAAATTGGCTTATAATTTGTGAATTCTGTTGATAGCTTTTTCTTACAGAATATCTAGATTGTGATGCATTTGATTTTTATTTATATACCTAAGAGACTTCTAAAGTTAAATGACATTAATCTCTTAGTAAAAATAACTTTTAGTGTTTCTCAAGTAATTTAATAAGATTATATTTTCTTTTGCCATTTAAGAAAAAAATTTAATTCTTATAGTCGTCTCTCTTATTATACCTTTAATTTTATAGTAGAGCATTCTTCTTTTAGGGCCCACTGTTAATTAGTTCATAACTTTGACATATTATCATATCTTGTTTTCACATCTCTGAGGCTTCCTTGTTTATCAGAAAATTAAATGTATTCTTCATTGTTACATAGGAAAAAATGGAAGCTGAAAGAGTATGGCCTGGGCTCAGGGCTTACCATCATCCTCATTCAGAAAAAATATGCCTGTTTTACATTGTGTGCTTGCATTTGAGCATGTATTTAAATAGAAAATTCTGTGGCTAAAGTGCATCTTGAAAACCTCCAAACTAGCTGTCGCAAAGGTGCTTCCCAACTCTAATTTCATATAAAATACTGTGATTTCTAATTTGAGAACTGCAGTACTCACCAGAGACTAACAATTAATTTTTTCCCTACATAGTTTGAGAAGTAGTAAATGTAATTGATGCAATGATTTTCAAAAATGGTTTAACAGCAGTGCTCCTTTTTTTTTTTTTTAACCAAACTAAATCTTACAGATATAAGCAATGCACTCCTGCTGAAGGAGGATTAATGTTTGCAGGATCTTGAGTTCTTCCATATCTTAGAGTTTTCTGTAATGATTTGAAAATTACAGCTTTAGTGGGCTTTTAAAATTCCATGTTGGTGCATACCCACAAGAATGAGTAGAATGGAAAAAGTCAGAATACGCCTGTTGGTGAAGTTGTGAAACAACTGAAACTCTCAAACACTGGTAAAACGTATAAATAAGTACAACCAAGATGGAAAGCTGTTCAGTAATATCTACTAAAGCTAAGCATGCACATCCTGCTATTTACCCACCAGAAATGTAGATATTTGTTCTTTAAGAATGTATATGTGTATATAAAGGAATATTTATAGCAGCACTGTGCATAACAGTTCTAAACTAGAAACAAACTGAATGTCCGTCAATAGGAGGATGAATAAATTATAGTACATGCACACAGTGTAATACTACTCCATCATAAAAAAGAACAAACTATTGATACATTCAACAGCATAGATAAAATCTCAGAAAGCCCTAGGTATGATTTATTGGTTATTATCAATCATGGTAGTTTTACATAAAAACTGTAATGCCTATAATGCTGGACATAAAAGCCAGACCAAAAGAGAACATGTCTTACGATTCTACTTATATAAAGATCAAACACAGGCACAAACTTATCATGGTGTTAGTAGTCAGAATAATGGGGAGGGGTGGTGATTGCAAGGGGCCATCAGGAGAGTGCTGGCTACAAGGGTATGTTTCACGATGTGAAGATTTATTGAGTAGTATATTTATGATGTGTTTTTATGTTTATATGTAATATTTCAATAAGTTAACTAGAAAGACAAAAAAAAATTTACTGCTATGTAGATGAACTGTAGCTATTCTGTTTGTTTTTCTTTGTGAAGGCTTGCTTCCCAATAGTCAAGTGACAGATGCACTTGCCAAAGAAGACCCTAGTTCTCCAAGGTATGCATTCTTGTTTACATTTTTAAAACTTAATTAGTTCTATACAAAAAATGCACACATTAAAAAAAATAATAAAGTAGCTCTGGGTTTGATTTATTGCTTTCTATTAATCATGCTTCTTTGACACAAGAACTGTAATACCTCATTTATGAGACGTTGTTGGAGAATGAGCTGTTCCAAAAATGTGAATTTTAAATACAGCTGAAGTTTGGTCCACTAATACTTGAAAAAATTATTTAAATTTTTTTTATTTTAAAAAATACATTAATGGTAGAAAACTTGTAAAATACAGAGAAACAGAAAAGGTAAAATCAGTTGTAGTCCCACCAACCTTAGATATAAACTCTTAACATTTGATTTATTCCCTCCAGGTTGATTCATATAATACCTAGTTCCATATTATTCTATTTTTATAATATTAGTTTTACAGTATATTCTATGAGCATTTTCTTATGTCAGTAAATATTCTGTGAAAGCATTTTTCTCTACATTCTGTCATATGTCTGTACCATAATTTACTTAACTATTCTATGTTTTGTATATCTAGTTTGTTTTATCAATTTTTAATGGAAATCTTTCAAGATGTATTATACACTAATTGTCTCACATAGTTAACAGTAAATTAAGCAATACATATCTATTTTGTTAGTGACACTTCAAATGCCCTCAGATGTGTTCTCTGTAGTTCTTTCTCTTACTTGTTTTTTCCTCACTGCCTACTATGTCATTCTAACAGCAGCATCCTGCTGTATTTGTCCAATTATTTCATATACAGTTTTAAGTTAAGGGACTGAGGATACCTCCTCTAGATTCAGCTCTGGGTACCTGTTTGTGGCTAATAAGGGCAAAAACAGTATCAGTTTGATCAATAGCTATATAACAAAACAGAAGACTTATTTTTACCTTATGTTTTATTAATTATTGATCCATTAAATAACCTTGATGAATTAATTTCTTTAATAATATATTTGTTACAGGAGGAATGAAAGTAATAAGCATGTACATTTCTTCATTTCTTCAGGCTCCTTAACAAATTATGTTGTGTTTTGTTATTGCTCTGATAAAAGATTGTAGTAAGAGGTGTTTAATCTTTATAAAAAGTATCTTGTTAAGGGCATTTTGTTTTCATTCTAGTCAAAATACGTGAAAATATAGATATTTTAAATTTGGAAATAATTATCAGCTTATATAATGAACGTAACATGGTAAGACCACTATTTATTTAGAAAAAAGTTTAATCTAGAGAAATATATTTCTCACTGTAAAGTTTAAACATTTAATGATTTAATATATGTTGATACATATGATTATTGATATAATTGTTATTTTCTTAATATTTTACAGCTATGACTGGTTCCAGACGGACTCGTTAGTCACCATTGTCATATATACTAAGCAGAAGGTAAACATGTCTTTAAAATCAGAAGAATAAAAAAGTAAATATTCAGTAAATGTTAATTTATATACCAGGTCTTTTTCTAAGCACTTTTGTTCTATTATTTACTTCTCACTACAACTCTACGAGGTAGGTACTATTTTTATTATCCCTATTTTCTAGAAAAGGAAACAGAGAGAGATTGAGTAATTTTACCAAAGTAAGTAAAAATTTAACCATAGTAAGGTAGCAGAGCATTTGGAACCTAGAGAGTCTGGCTCCAGAGCATATGCTCTTAACAACCATTGCCTCTTAAAGAGTAGACTAGGAAGTACTTTATGTGCTTTTCTGTGGTTTTTTTTTTTTTTTTTTAGAAGCATGGGTAACAAAAGTGAATCCCAGTTAACCTCACTATAAGAACAAATTTCCTGAACATATATTGAAATTAGAGAGACTATATTGCTATGGCTTAGTATAATATGGTTAAACCACTAATGGTGTTCAAATGCCCTTTTTTCTTTTTCCAGGAACAGACTGCAAGAATAGATACCCTTTTGAAACTAAAGTTAGGGAGCTAATTCATTCACTAAGTACTTACGTAACACCTACTTTATCTGAGGTACAGACTTAGATGTCAGGGATCTAAATGATAGGCCAGATACATAGAGACCTGGCTTTCATGGGGCTTGCAGTCCAGCTGAGAAATCCATAAACAAGCAGACAACTCGCAACATCTCCAACACATCCTGGAGGTTCCTATACTTTGAGGAACCATGTAGGTTTAAAGACACATTCTGGCAGCTTAGGGGTTTTTAAGAATTTATGCTATTTCTGCAGTAGCAGAACCATCTGAGCCAATAGGTTCCTCTGACTCTTGCAGCATGATTTGGCCGTTTGACAGAATGACCAGCCTCTGCCTGATGTAGCCAAGAGAGCCAGAGGCACTGCTTGTCCCTTTTCCCACTCACTCTTACTGTTTTCTCCTCGTTATGTAGTCCAAAACCAGGAACACAGGGCCTAGGGAGGTCAGAGTCCCTCCTACTGCTAATATCAGTGGAGCACAGAGGATGAATGGCTAAGGAAGGGGGGGAGATTTCCACATGGGATAATATGTTAGTATGTGGTACAAATGATAGATACCAAAATACTTTGCACCAAGGCTATGTAGAAATTAGAGATATCTGAAAATGTGTTAGTGAATTGATTTTTTTGATAAGCTGAGAAGTTGTGTAACCAGCATCACATTATAGTGTAAAGATGAAAATGAACACAAATATCTTGGTTTATGGTTTCATTCTAATGTTTTTCCCACTTTGCTTATTCAACAATTATTTTTTGAGCTCCTACTAGACGCCAAGCAATATTCTGAAGATAGTTCCTTAAGCTAGAGTAAGGGTCCTCAAACTTTTTAAACAGGGGGTCAGTTCACTGTCCCTCAGACTGTTGGAGGGCCGCTGGAGAGTGCGGCACACATTCCACACATGCGCACTGTGGGCCTGGGATGAGTCCACCACTAAGCAGGACAGGCAGCAGCAGCAAAAACACCCGGCGGGCCAGATAAATGTCCTCGATGGGCTACATGTGGCCTGTGGGCCATAGTTTGAGGACACCTAGACTAGAGGGTAACATAGATATTACTAGAGGGTAAGACAGATGTGGAGTAATTAAAATTGTGATACGTGCTTTGAAGGAGAAGAACTGGGTTATATAAGAGAAAAAAACAGGAGTAAAATTTATTTAGTTTAGGGATTCAGTAAAGAAGCACCATATAAACATCCACAGATCACCTTAAAAGTATAGTTATAGATGTTGGTGGAAAAAATTTACTTTCTAATCTTTCTGTTTTTGCTTTCTGTTTAAGGATATCAGTTTAGAGTCAGTAATAGTTGATCATCAGGATGATTCCTTTAGAGCAGAAACAATTATCAAGGATTATTCATATCTTATACATATAGGTGAGTACTTTAGTTTTATTAATAGAAATAACTCCAGTTTCCTTTAAATATAACAATAATTTGGTCTACAGTCTAAGTAACTATAATATTTTATCTGTTGTCATTTTTGATCATTTTTTTCTATAAGTAGGCATGTAGGTGCTCCTGAGCACCCATCACTAGGTGCCCCTTAACACTGGCCTGTTCCTTACTAGCTCTGCCATGAAAAGTCTGGCCTGCAAATTTGTGTTGTATCCCTCAGCTACCAGTCCCTTCATGACTAAATACCAGCTTTGTATTTTTCGGTTAGGACAGAGAAAAAAGTGGGAGAAACTGGGGTACCCTACACTAGCACATATATGAAAAAACAAACAAAAATTCCACGGTCAAAAATATGAAACTCTTGGTTGCCCCTATTGCATTGGAAGGACTGAAATAATGCAAAATTGTAAATTCCAGATAACCATTTGAACATAGTAAAATTTAGAATAGACATTTGTAAAAATATTTCTTACATCTCCCTCTTCTAGAATGTAAGTTCCAGGCCGGGCGCTGTGGCTCACGCCTGTAATCCTAGCTCTTGGGAGGCCGAGGCGGGCGGATTGCTCAAGGTCAGGAGTTCAAAACCAGCCTGAGCAAGAGCGAGACCCGTCTCTACTATAAATAGAAAGAATTTAATTGGCCAACTGATATATATAATAAAAAATTAGCCGGGCATGGTGGCGCATGCCTGTAGTCCCAGCTACTTGGGAGGCTGAGGCAGAAGGATCACTCAAGCCCAGGAGTTTGAGGTTGCTGTGAGCTAGGCTGACGCCACGGCACTCACTCTAGCCTGGAACAACAAAGTGAGACTCTGTCTCAAAAAAAAAAAAAAAAAAAATAGAATGTAAGTTCCTTAAGGGCAAGGATTTTTCTTTCTCATCAACTGTTAAGTCTATAACACCTAGAAAAGTGCCTGTCACACATAGATGCTATATGTATATATATATATATATATATTTTTTTTTTTTTTTTTAAATAACCAAATGAGTATTCAGCTTTGGAGAACAATAAGAAAACAAAAACTAAGCTTGCCCCAGGCCTGGCCTCTGTTCACATATGCACATGCACACACCCTGGGGCATGCATGCTTCAGGTCTACCTCTCTCATATCCTGCTTCTTTCTTGATTTATAAGATTGTCAGTCTGGGGCCATGCTTGAACTAATGTCGGTTAGCCACTGTGGGCAATTGAGTATTTACTGTTCAGTTAATAGGGAAAGAAATGAAGAATTGAATAATATATATTTATGATAAATATTTAATTCTCCATTTTGATTATGTATAATTTCTTTCCTTTGGTCTCTCAGAATACATTTTACTTATTTTGAGGGATTTGAAATAATGCATAAGAGAACTGTTTAAATGATCTTATAAGCTATAAACTGTGTATGAATCGAACTTAGATTTTAACTAAATACATTTTTTTATCTCAGGGCTAAGCCATGAGGTTCAGGAAGATTTTTCTGGTAAGTTTCCAAAAACAAAAATTATGTGTGTACTATGTACACATACTTACAGAGAGAAAAAAAGAAAAATCAGCATTTGTCTTATTTTTCTTATGTTTATTTTTATGTTGCAAGACAAAGATTTTTTTTATATAAATAAGTACATTAATTTTTAAATATACTCCTCCCTCTGGTTTCAGGTTGTTTCTTTTCCCTTTGTTCCTTTCATCTCTTTACCCTTTCTTATTTTCTCCTTAAAAAAAAATTCCTGTCTCCTTTCTATTCTTCTTCCTTTCTCAGCTCTGACATATTCCTGACATGTAGCTTGTAGAAATATACTAGAGCAGAAGAATTTTTATTACATGTATATATTGAAAATTGTTTAATATTGACAGGGCATACTAAATTATGAATATTGCTGCATATAAACTTGCAGTGTGGATTTTACGTAGCTGTTTAACAATAGAAAACTCATCATAGAATGGTGGTTTTGTGTTTTCAAGTGCCATCAGATATATGACACTGGTTCAGTGTCTCCCCTTTTCCGTATATCATATTATATAGAAATTGTAAATTGTATAAATTGTTAAATTGTACAAATTAAGCTCTTTGAAGTCAAGGACCATGGTTAAGCATCAAATCGTGTCAGTGCTCATTGAATTGAGTTCATTTGACCTATTTATCTTAAAAAGTTGTAAATTGTTATTGATTTCTATGTTTACAGTAAGAGAGAGCAGATGCATTGTTTCTAAAGAAAAATGAAATATGCTTTGGATCTTTAAAAGCATGTTCAATTTATAAAATTTAAATCAGTGTATAGAAGTCTCTATTATACCCATATATTCTAAACTATTTTAATTATTTAAAAAATAAAAAGATAATCCAAAAAGTTTCTAATTATCAAAGATTCCCATATACCTTATTAATTCACTCTGTATTTACTAGGGACTCATTTGCCTGAGGCTATTCTTTTGTTCATTAGGCTCAGGATTGGTCCACTGAATTTACTCATAAGAACCCCTTAGATTCCAACTATGAACTGTTAAAAGAGAGTAAATTAAATTTGCTTCTGGCTAAATTGTATATCTCAGCCCTATTTTTTTTAGCTGTGTGTTAATTAGTTGCTGTGACTATATTTGAGCTTTTATGAAAACTAGCAATATATATTAGTTTGGCCCTTGATAAATTAGTTCGAAAGAAGTTAATCTGAATCTAAAATAAACTGTATTTAATACCATATAAGGCATAAACACTTGTGATGAATAGGTGAACAAAATCTTATTTATCCCATTAATGATTAGCGTCATTCATAATGGGTTAGGACATTTGGACTGTTTGAGAATTACTGATTTTAAAATAAAATCTTGTATTTAATATCAGTGAATACAAATGAAATTTATCTTGTTTTTAGTGCGGGTTGTTGAGAATGTAGGGAAAATAGAGATCGTCCTTAAGAAAAAAGAGAATACTTCTTGGAACTGTCTTGGTCATCCCCTGGAGAATCATAATTCATTTATTCCAAGAAAAGATGCAGGTATGCTGTACTATTATTTTATTACAGTAATTTCATGTTCATGAAATGTTGTGTTAGTTGTACAATTGTACCAGAGTTTGGAATGCTGCTTTGGAACTAGCTAAAGGGTCCTTATATCTCCTTCTAGAAAGTTTGAAAGTAACATTGTATCTGTTGGCCTCCTTTTTTTTCATAGAAGTTAAATTTCAGACTCTACTGTTTAATATTTAGGCAAAGAAATGTCATTAGGTAATGATAGTTTGAATAGAGAAGGCTACTTGTGTTTAGACTGTTGACCAACCATTGACTCCGCAGGTCCTCTTTTATGAAAGATGCAAATACAAGTTTTAAGTTTATGCCTTGTATGCACATTTGATTTTTTTTCCTATTAAGAAAAACATGTTTACTGTTTTTCTGCTTACATAAACCAGTTTCTCAGTTTATTCCTAATGGATGATGCCATTCATTTCCTTCTGTTCTTTCAGTATTTTTAAAATCTGAGTTTAACGTATATAGAAAAGGGAGCATATTGTAACTGGTCTACTTGATGAAATTTCACAAGGTGAACACATTCTATATTTTCTTTTTGGAAATTGGTAGGATTTTTTTCCTTGTTTCTAGTGTTTTGAAATTTACAATGATATACCATAATGTAGATCTGTTTTCATCCTTCATGCTGGGTGTGCATTCTTAGTGCTAATCTTTTCAATATGGTAACTTATTACTTTCAGTTCTCAGAAATATTATTGATTTTTCACTTCCCTAATCTGTTTTTGCTTTCTAGGTGCATTCTTATATTGAACCTCTTTAACCAGTCCTCTATCTTACCTTTTCTCTCTTATTTTCAGTTTAGCTATGTCTTCTAGCTCTTCTGTTGAATTACTTATTTTTACTCATATTTTTAACTTCTAAGAACTCTTTTGATTTCTATTCCTTTGTTGTAGCATCCCATTCTTATTAGCTTCTCTTATCTTGTCAAGAAGTACTGAAAATGTTTTAGAGTTTTCTTCCTCCTGTGTAACCTCTGTGTCCTCCAAGTTTGTTGTCGTTTGTTTCTTTTGGTGTCTTTTATGTATTAAATACACTTTGAATGTTTGCTGATCCTTGACTATATGCTCATATTTAAGGGAGGGGTTCTAAAAGCTGATTGGAAACTATACATGTGGCTGTGATTTGTCATCAGTTATATTCACTATATGGCTGGATTGTTTCTTTGGGAAAAGTTCAATACCAGTATTTTGTCAGAGTCTCTAGAATGAACGGTCTCCTACCTTGTACCTAGCATTTCAGAAGCCACGTGGGGAAGAAGACAGGGGTATCTATAAACATCACTTAATTTCTTTTCTTTTTCTCTCCCGCTTAGAACATTCTATTAGTTTGATAGGGCTACTATAACAAACTACTACAGACTGGGTGGCTTAACAAAAACTTATTTTCTCACAGTCCTGAAGGCTAGAAATCCAAGATCAAGATATCAGGGTTGGTCTCTTCTGAAGTCTCAACTATCTTTTAAAAGACCCCATCTCCAAATACAGCCACATTCTAAGGTACTGGGGTTTACGACTTCAACATGCGAATTTGGGGAGCGATACAATTGAGTCATAACATAGACCCAATCCAGAGTCTTTTTGTTTTACCCTCTCTGGAGAGCAAACTTCTAATATTTTGCCATGATGGAAGAGTGTCGGTCATGTGGCTGTGCTAAGTAGGGAAGGATTTCAGGGGGCTGGCGGGACATCCAAGCTTCTTAAATGAACTTTCATCCAGAAAGTGGTTTTAGCTCCATGTTGACTCTGATTCCAGAGGTACTTGGTCCTACAAGTTTCTGACCATCAAAGAGATTTTGTAGTAAAAGTGTGTTGGTTTTTGGTTTTCTACACTTCTAGCTTAGAAGTCAGCTTTCTTGGGTCTGCTGAGTCAATTATCAATCATCTCTTTTGCCTTGTCACCTCCCAAAGTTTATTGCTTTTGTCTCTGATTTTCATTCTTTATGTATTTGTGGGCTTATACCTTAAAAAATAATGAAACACACACACACACAAAGACACAAAACTTCTTTGCTGTTATTTTAGGGGATTCAGAAGGAACTAGCTGCATGTATCAAGTTTATCATCTTTATATATTTAAAATTATTATAAATACTTAAAATTATTGCATGAGATAGAAAAAGCCAAAGTGTTTTCCTACTCTCACCACTCAACACAGAACACTCTGGTTACCAAAATGTGTAGATTTCTTCCTACCAACAACCAATTCTACAGTGACACCAACTGGGTGTTCTACAGTTTAACTCAAATTTGATACTAACTGGAGTTCAGTGCAGACCCCAGAGGTTGAGGGCTCAGTTCCACAAGACTGCCCCCCACTTCATACGACAGTTGCCAGCTCCAGATTGTGACCTGTGCTTCTGACCAACCACCTATAAATTGGGGTTGTCACACCCTCCTCCCTGGGCTCAAAAATTTGCTAGAATGGCCTACAGAATTCAGGGAAATGCTTATGTTTATCCATTTATCATAAAGGATATTACAGAGGATATTGATGAATAGCCAAATGGAAGAGATGCACAGGGCAAGGTATGTGAAAAGGGGTGTGGAGCTTCTTTGCCCTCTATGTGTATGCCACCTTCCCAGCACCTCTATGTGTTCAGCTTTCTAGAAGCTCTTCCAACCCTGCCCTATTGGGTTTTTATGGAAGCTTCATTAGAAAGGTATGATTGATTACACCCTTGACCAATGGTGATCACCTCAACCTTCAACCCCTCTCCCCTCCCTAGAGGTCTGGGGATGACATTGAGGGTTCCAATCCTCTAATCACATGGTTGGTTTCCCTGGCAATTGCCCCCATCCTGAGTCTATCCAGGAGTCTACCAACAGTCTCAGTAGAACAAAATATGCTCCTGTCACCTAGGAAATTCAAGGGATTGAGGAGTTTTGTGTCAGACACACCTGTTAGGAAATTACAAAAGGTTTTAGGAGCTCTATGTCTGAAACCAGGGTTAAAGACCAAATATTAGAACAAAAGATTCTCTTAGTGTCCCTGTATACAAGGGTGTTAGGAATTCTGTGTCAGGAACCAAGGGCAGAAGCCAATATGTATTTCTTACTATTTTAGAATTATGAAAATATGCTTATAGGTAATTAATTTTCAGAAAAGCACAAAGCAGCCTTATTTTGAGTACACATTGTGTGTAGAAGGCTATTTTATGCACTGTGGTATGAAACAAAGAGCATGAGAAATTATTTTCCCAAGTGGAAGAGAGAAAATATACAAACATGAGATTGAAACATACTTTTATTAAGGAACAGGCCAACAAGAACAAGTTATATAATACAAACCGAACATATTTTGAAGTAGCCCCAAGTGAATAGACACAGATGAATTTGATCTTGAATGACTCCCTGAAGAAAGTGAATTTCAAGTAATGTTTTGAAAGTGAGGTTCATGGCTTTCAAAAAAATTAAATAAAAGTAAAAACTGAAGGACTTTCTGGGTAGATCTACATATTGTTACTGGTTACATATTGTGCCAGGCATTTTGCAGATTGTAGAGAAATAAAAATTTAAGTGGTGTGTAGGAAAGTTCAAATAGATTAATTTTGCCAGAGGAGGAAGCCTGATTTTTGTGGTATTAGGGAGGAAGGACATAGAGGAATAATAGAGTGATTTAGCAGGTCAGAAAAGAATAGGAAAGAGACAATGAAAATGAAAAGAAATAATACTAGAGTGAAATCTCTTGCCCTGAAATTATCTGATTTAGCTAGTGATTGAAAAATAGCAAACCAGATAAAAACCAAGGCCAAGAAATAAAACTGAAACCCAAGCCTGACATCCATTTCTAAGTACTAGTTACAGTGATCATCATTCAGGCATTCTTCTCTGTAATTTCCTGAGAGTTTCCATGAACTCTTTTATTCCTGCTATAAATTTTTCCTCAAGTCCTGAACCACTATTTAAAAAAAAAAGAAAGAACGCTTTCACTTTCTTGTGTGAAATTGTAGCTGTGGATATATTTTTCAGTGAAGTAGGTTTTCTACTTTTGGAAAATAACTCAGAGCTTTGAAGATACTTTTGTTTATTTGACTGAATCAGCAAAGATAATTTTTTCTTTCTCCTTCTCACCCTTAAATCGTAACAAAAACTGTAGGGTATTTTATTCGGTAGCAAAGGTGAATACTTACATCATCAAAGTGTTATAATTAACTGGGTATCAGTAAGCTCAAACATTTACAGCCCGTCATGTGGTTCCTGGGTTTTCAATATATATTGCTAAAATTATTGATTTCTTTGGTATAGCATTCTGGCTTCATCTTACTGAAGTTTCTTTGCTAAAAGAATTTTAGTTTGAAAATAAACTTATAAGTTGAAAACTTTTAATACAATGTCTTCTCATGTCAAATCTAGAATACACTCACATGAAAGATTTATAGTAAAGAACATCAGAGAAGTGAAGCTATTTCATTTTTATCTTCAATTCAAATGTAATATGTAATATTTTAAATTGTATGATGCTTTCAATTAATTTTTTCTCCCCAAAGATGAAGATTATGAGTAAGGGTGTGTGTGTATGTGTGTGTGTGTGTGTGTGTGTGTGTGTGTGTGTGTGTGTAAGAGAAAGAAGGGGAAAGAGAGAGAGATGGCTGAGGAACTTTGCCTATTAAGGGTCAGAAATCAATAGATATTGGGTTGCTATTTCTATACCCAACTTAACATTAACATTTTATTTTACTTACTACTACCTTTATTATGGAGACTTTGATTAGAAAGAAATTAATTGGCCAACTGATATGTATATAAAAAATTAGCCGGGCATGGTGGCGCATAATTATGTCACAATGTTGATATATCAACAGCCACTTACAGACATACCTTGGAAACATTGCAGGTTTGGTTACAGACCACCTCAATAGAATGAGTATCACAATAAAGCAAGTCACACAAATATTGTGGTTTCCCAGTGCATATAAAAGTTATGCTTGTACTATACTGTAGTCTACTAAGTGTGCAATAAAATTATGTCTA